AATTAGAGGCCCTAATTAGCACCCAAAAAGCACCTAATTATTATATACTTCCCGAAATTTTTTTCCACCTTGGGACTGCTAGGTTTATAGACCTGATTTTTACTCATGTTAGAGAAGATGTGTAGCTCTTACTATGGGTGGATGACATCATTTTGACATTGGTGTCACAGATCACCTAATACAGATGCGTAAGTACGTATACTTGCCGTCGAAGATATTCTGTGACGAAGCCGGGGAGCCAGCGCCTTGACGCATAGATACAGATCGCCCGCGTCAGGACAATTAACGTGGCCGGGTGCGTGAGCATGTTCCAGCCTTTGTGTTTACATATTTTTGCGGGTAAAAAAGAATATTTTTTTGCTGTCTGTGAACCAATTAAAGAAATAATATTAAATTATTGAGCTTCCGCATTTATATAATAAATATGTTCAAAATACATTGATGCGGCATTGGTGCGGCCAGCCTATGTCTATCAAATTAATCTTGAACCATGAATTCGCCGCTCTTTCGCATCTGTATGTAGGTAATCTGTGTTGGTGTCCTGTCCTGTACCTGATAACACCCACCAAATTCAATTTGATAAGGACAAAAACCACTGAACTATTATTTTACCAGTCAAGAACCGTGTCTATATTGAAAGAAAATTAGAAAGTGGAATTTTATGCCAAAAATTTGGTAAAACCCAACTTTTTAGTCCAAACTAAGGCTTTTTGCCAAAGGACCCCGCACTAATCTTATGGAAAATGACTTGCGGTGAAATTGTCTAAAATTTGGACATGTTTGTTGTGCTCCTGAACATTCTAAACAAAAATTATCATTGGCACAAAAAAATCCAACGAGCCAATTTTTGAGTTATGTTAAGTTATGTTAAGTTCAAAAGATGTCAGATGCAACACATTTGAATTTTCTGTCACCTTATAAAAATATGGAAATGACATTCATGAACAGTTTGCAAACTGTCAGAAATAATCGCCCAGATAAGTTACCGATTTAACTTGGAACAGCGGCATTGAAAACATATATGGGCGATGCTTTCTGACAGGTTGCAAACTGTCAGAGACTCTTGTGAGAACAGACCCATTGGCAGCACGTATTCGTACATAAATAAAAGCAGTATTTCTGCGCTCTGCCCTATCTTATTGCACATAATGCAGGCCTTAGGTCGTCATTTGATAAAACCCGAACTAATTGTAGCTCTCAACCGGTATAAGTATACCTATGGTATACTTGACATACAAAGGCCGTATTTCTCTGACAACGTAACAATGATGTAGCAATGTCACAACGCGAATTTGAAAGGAACATAGATGGTATGAGGCAGTGGATTCAAGAGGGCGACATTTTCATAGAAGACTGAGGATATCGAGATGCTGGTCCACTGCTTTAAGGCGTAGGTATTTGTCTTCTACAAAATGCCAATACCTCTAAATCGGGGACAATTTGAACTAAGACACTACCGAAGAAGTAAAAGAATCACGTTTAGTAACAAAAACCAGGTGGATATACAGTTGAAGCACGAAATGGACAAGTGTCCCCCATAATGTTTGCTACATATGGGAACTTTTTTTATTTATACGATATGGAATTTTGCGCTCATGGATTTGACAAAAGGAATTGAATTACATTTAAATGGCTGTTGGATCATTATGGTGGTTTCTTGCTTTTATAGATTTGGTTCAAATGATAACTGATATATTTTATTCTCAAAATCCAAACATAATATTTGAAATAAAATTGTGCGCAATAAAAAAAAAGCAAACGGAAACCAAACCAACATAAAATTAAATTATGTTCGCTATAGCATGCTCATGCCTAATTATGATTATTATTTCAACCGCAAAGGCGTGCAATTTTAATTTTTAAACTATTTTTATCGATTTGTGGTGCATAAATAATATGTAGGTTTTGGACTCAAATACATAATTAAAATATTGTTTATAAAGCAAAGCCCTAGTTTTTATATAACAAGATTAAATAACAAGATGGATGCAATTCCATGGAAAATCCTAATCAAATTAATGGGAAAACTCTCAATAATTTTCTTAGATATTCTGTGTTCGATACTGTGCTAACTCAATATTAATAACTTCCCGGAAAAATGCGGAAAAGTAACAGATTAAAGAGAAAATGTTATGTGAGATAACACTAGTCATACATTCAAAACAAGTGCTCAAAGTAAATATTTATAGACGATAAGATATTTTATCTAGGAGCTTATTTTAATTTTTTTCTGTCAAAATAAAACCCATCTAAATATCTATAAGTAGATTTACAACTTTTTTTAACATTATACATATCCTCTAAGGCCTGGTTAAGGTTGAATGGAAAAACCACTTGAATGGTTAACCTCAACCTTAACTCACGAATTTAAAATATACCTAAGAAGGTTGTTGTTATTTAGTGCAATGCAAGGTTATTATTATTTAATTTATGTTTGTATCATATAGGCTAGGCAGAAAATTTCATTTTGATGCGAATCACGAAATGCGGATTATATGAATACTAATGTAGTTGCTCAATTTTGAAAAATGTCTGGGCTAATGAGTCATTAAGAAAGAACATAATAATTTTATTTTTATTATTTTAAATTTGTTTGTTTTTTAAAGATGTCCAATATTTTTTGTCTTAAATTCGAAATGTTTCATTTAGTATCTAAAGAATTTAACTTGTGCTATAATTTTCCTTTGTTTAAGTAAGTTTCTTCATCAACCAGTTAAGTTTGTATCCATTTTATTTTGATATTTAACCATTTCTAATATTAAAAAAATGGATTAAGAAGTTTATTCTTGCTACAAATCATGACAGTTTTAAGTAAAATCTTCGATTGGGGACCTTATTATAGGAATCTTCTTTGGACAAAATACTCACTTTATGATGATAATTCTCAATAAATTGAACAATACCAAGAAAACTGCGTCTAAAACAAACTCTTGCGTCATTAATTATTACTTATATGCTTTGAAATATGGATTTCACAATTAGTCAGTATGAGTGTTTCCCGTGATTTTAAATCACTCAATAATGGCGTCATTGTTATTTCCGTAGTCCATTAAAAAACCTCCGACATTGCGATAATTAACAATTTACGTTCAAAATGAATTAATAGAATAACAGGTATTGCTGTTTTTTTTTTTATTATAGTAAAACCGATTTCTAAAAATCTTGAAAATTAGGGCAATTTTTGATACTAAGAGCCGGTTTGTTCACTTTCTAAAAAATTGTCAAATAATACAATCTAAAGGATAAAAACGCAATATGTAATCCCATTGGTCAACCAATTATCCAGTGACCAATAAGCTTATAGATCTGTAAATTTATCTTGCAGATAGTTACAAGCAAGTTTATCTCAAAATGAATAAACCGGGCCTAAATGTTGGTCTACTTTTTAGCATGGGCAAGTATAAAAATATAGAATTTTTAATGTTACCTATGTACTACTTTTGAACAAGACATAATCTTTATTTAATAAATAAAGTGTAAATTTTATTAGAGTAATCATTATCTATTTGTATTTATTTTTGTTAATATTGAACTTTTTATAATTCCACATATTTCATGAGCTAAAAATATCGAAAATCTAACAGGAGAAAAATATAAATATAGCTCAAATTAAATAAATAATGTAGACACTGAAAATTTTCTGAGCTACTAGGTATCAGGATAATATAACACAGGATTCAGACATATGCTTTAGCCTTATGCTTTGCAATACCCCACATAACAAAATTGCATCCTTAGAATGTATTAAGAATGTTCTTTTTTTAGGAGGAATGTGCCTAGAATGTTCGCCAAAACCATTGCGAATGTCCTGAGAATGTTCTGAGAAAAGATTGTAGAAATACTGTTTGCAATACCCAAGAACTTCCTGGGAAATCCATTAGGATATTCCTAGAATATACCTATGAGATTCTCAGTACGTCCTGAAAAGAATATTCCTATTTGATTCTAAAAATATGCTCGAAACGTACCTATATTCTCACATTCAAAGAATGTTTCTATGACATTATAGTTATGTTCTCAAAAGAATATTATACCAATATACTTGAAATATTCTTAGAATATATCTACATATATCATTCTCAATATGCATCCTAGACATAACATTCTTGTTTGATTCTAAGGATATACTTGGAATGTTAATTTTCGCGCGCTTCTAAATAATACTCGTTTCAGCCCTTTTATATTAAAGGCAGTGAAGAGTTGTTGGAAAACTTCTCTAGAAAACATGAGTATTTAACCAAAGCTCTGGTTTCGAGCTTGTTATGCTCTCGTCGAAGCACGCCAACTGAGAGAAACAGGTTCCAAGGTGATTCAAATGCGAGGCAAGATGTAGATCTTTAATAGCGCGTCGCTCCCTCTCTTGGAAGTCATACAAAGCAAAAGAAAAAGAATATACCTATAATATTCTTAGTAGGTTCTAGATAGAGCATTATTGTTTAATTGTAAAATTAAGATTTTTGAGTAGGTACTTTAGATAATTAGGTGAACAATATGAAAATATTCTTATCATGGTTACCTACCTTCATAAACTTCTCAGCACAACTTGGTAGGTATATTCTTAATACTTGATAGAGATATTAGCTTAAAGAACATTTTTTAGGGTACATTATAATAATGTTCGTATGAGAATATTCAAAGAATGTTATATAAAGTAGGTTCTTAGCACAATCTTTCAGGTAGGTGCATAGAAGCAACATTCCTAGTACATAAATAGAACGTACAAAAAAGAATATTTCAATCGAAATAATCTTAGAATATTCATTGAACATTCCTAAAAGAACATTCCAAAAAGTACTTTGAGGGGATATTCTGAGAATATGAATGTTCTTTCATTGTTATGTGGGACCTAATTAGAAAATTAATCACATTAATCTGTCAAATGATGTCTGAACAAATAAATGTACATTATGCGCTCTAAAAGTTAAACAATCATTTAATTAAAACCCAGTAAGAAGATAAGACTAATTTTAAATAAATAAATTATTGTAAAACTTCCTTACCAAAAACGCGAAATTGGCCACAAACACCAAAATCCTGGCAAATCCTTCGGAAACATTCATCTTTTTTGATTTTCTTGACTATAGATCAAATGGCACTTAAAATATTAACAAAAAGCACAAGAGACGGACGGACGTGCACTGACACCCGAACGAAGTGGGTGTTAAATTTACTTAAACTGATTAAATCTTATCAGGAAAGTTTAATTTTTATTGTTTTGACGCTATTACTCACTCTCTGGTTTTAAACAACAAAAAGCACCGTCGATTACCCACTAGCAAGAAAATATTAATCTGAAAGCTCAACGCGCAACATGTTGGTAATTTTATAAATAAATAAAAGGCCAAGGACAGTTTGGCCTGGCGGTGGTGGTGGCGGCATAATTAATATGGATCGCGTGGGTACAATATTTGTACAATTTTATGTTTATTTAGCTAGTGCGGTATTAATATTAACTAGAAAGACTTTTGAATAGAGGAAACACTGGGAATAATCGAAGTATATTAGGATAAACATAAAATTTGACAGGACTATCGACATGACCGACATCAAAAACTTGACAATAATATATTTCCAAAGTACTCGAAAAAATTCTTGTAAAAGAAACATCATCCATCTTCTTAGGAAATAATATCATACCTCCTACATAGAATGGTTGTATGCCAAAAAGGTCTACTACAACTAATTGTCTCAGCTGTCTAGACGATTTAGACAATTGGTCTATAAATCTAGACGAAGGCAAATCAATTGACGTATCTTGACTTTCAGAAAGCCTTGGATACAATACCGACAGTACCACACGAGAGACTCTGTAAATACAAACTAAGCCATTATGGAATAAGAGGCAAGTACCTGCAATGGAGCAGCACCTTCTTTAAGCAAAGAACTTTTTATGTTCAAGCAAATGGAACCAGCTCTGATTGGTACCCAGTCGTCAGCGGAGTACCACAAGAATCTGTGCTTGCCTCTCTTTTTTTTTTTATTTTTTTTTTTAATTGTGTACCTACATTTCTGATACAAGATGTCAGAAAACTGTTCAACAAGGCAAAAACTAACAGCAACTGGGCAGACTATAGAACAGCCCTAGACAAGTACAACCGTGAATCAAGAAAATCAAAAAGGAAATCATGGAGACAATTCTGCGAGGGGATTGACGAATTAGCCCCAGCTCAACGTCTCCAAAAAGTTCTTTCAAAAAACCACTCAAACGGAATTGGTCTGCTTAGAAAGCCAAACGGAGAACACTGTACCGACCACACAGAAAGTCTAGAGGTATTACTACAAACTCACTTTCCAGATTCGGTAATCGTTGAAGCCCTGAACCAGGTCACTCCGCCTATCGAAGGGCCACAAAGCCCTAACGGCAGGAGCAAAAGGCTGGCTGGGAAAATCTTCACAATGAACAGAATAAAATGGGCGATCGATAGCTTCAGACCCTACAAATCTCCAGGCAAAGACGGGATTTTTCCCGCACAACTGCAAAAAGGCTACGAGCACTTAAAGGTACACCTACAAAAGCTCTTTAAGGCAAGCCTGCTCCTAGGGCACATACCGCTATCTTGGAGGGAAGCTAATGTGATATTCATACCAAAAACGGGTCGCCGACCCAAGGACGAACCAAAATCATATCGTCCCATTAGTCTAACCTCCTTTCTCCTTAAGATAATGGAGAAAGCAATCGACCAGTACATCAGAAGCGAAACTCTATTGAGAAGACCGCTCTACTCGAAGCAATTTGCCTATCAGCCAGGCAAATCCACGATAAGTGCTTTACACTGCTTGGTTGAAGACATTGAAAAGACAATCGAGTGCAAAGAGATCGCTCTCACAGCTTTCATCGACATAGAGGGTGCCTTTGACAACACCTCACATCAATCAATCGCCAGAGCATTACAAGAATGGGATGTTGAAGTTCCAATTGTAAAATGGATAGAGTCGATGCTGAAGCACCGTCACGTTACGGCTGAAATAAACGGAGCATCAGCTACCGCTACCACGGTCAGAGGGTGTCCTCAAGGGGGTATTCTTTCTCCGCTACTATGGACACTGGTGGTAGACAAAATTCTTACCAGACTGAGTAGTGCTGGATACCAGGTCATATAGGTTACGCAGATGACCTAGCCATCGTAATCAAGGGCAAACATGAAGGTATAGTGACAAGCCGAATGCAAAGTGCCCTAAACATCGTTAAAAATTGGAGCGAAGGCGAAGGACTATCCCTAAACGCAAACAAAACAATCCTTGTCCCGTTCACAAGAAGAAGGAAGCTAAATTTGAAAGCCCCGACCCTTAACGGTACACAACTAACATTTTCCAATGAAGTGAAGTACTTAGGGGTCACCCTGGACCAAACCCTCACTTGGAACAAACAGTTAGAGAAAACATGCTCTCGAGCTACATCAGCCATTTGGTCATGCCGAAGACTTGTTGGCAAAACATGGGGGCTAAAGCCAAAGATGGTATTCTGGATCTACCAAACCATAAAAAAGCCTATGGTCACGTACGCCTCATTGGTGTGGTGGCCCAAAACCCAACAAGTCACCGCTCAGATTAAGCTAAGAAAGGTGCAAAGGCTGATATGTCTAGGAATAACGGGAGCAATGTCAACTTGCCCCACCGCAGCCCTAGAGATGCTACTCAACATGCCCCCACTTCACCTATGTGTGAAAAAGGAGGCAATAACCAGCGCTCACAGGCTATTCCAAATAGACAAGTTCAAGCCTGGCGATCTGAGGGGACATCTGAAAATCGTTGATCTAATAACACTGGAGAATGCCAGCAAACCAAGTGACCACATGATGGTCAGATTGGACTTAGAGATCCCCTTCGCAGTGGTAATAAACGACCGCCAATCATGGGAGAATAAAGAACTATCACAAGCAGACAATGCATTTCTGTGGTACACAGATGGATCCAAGCTAATGGTAGGAGCTGGACTGGGCATTTCCGGCCCTAACTTCAAGCTCTCCAAGGCATTGGGTAAACATCTTACAATATTTCAAGCCGAACTGCTTGCCATAGATATATATGCACAAGAGTGTCTTAACCAAAGCCTCAAAAGAAAACACATCTTCATACTATCGGACAGCCAAGCTGCCTTAAAAGCCTTGAGGGCTTTCAAATGCACGTCAAAACTAGTCTGGGAGTGTAAACAGACCCAAAAAACACTAGCGACACATAACCAGGTAACGCTGATGTGGCTGCCTGGTCATCGAGGCATAGAAGGAAACGAAGAGGCAGATGGCCTCGCAAAGGAAGGGGCCTCAACACCATACCATGGACCAGAGCCCTACTGTGGCTTAATGAAAAGCCACATCATGGACGAACTCAACAAATGGGAGAAAGACCAACTGTCATCATATTGGAGGCACACACCGGGACTCAGACAGTCAAAAAGGTTTATTACCCTTTCAGCAAAAAGAGCTGAACAGCTCCTAAGCATGAGCAGACCAGACATCAGATTGGTGGTGGGACTGCTCACAGGACACTGCCCAGTAAAATACCATTTAAGGTTAATGGACAGAGCAGAAGACGATCTCTGCAGATTCTGCTCAGACGCAATAGAAACCGCAGAGCACCTGCTCTGCGAATGTCCAGCCCAATTCTGCAAGAGGCTCAAATTCCTCGAGGGGGCAACACTGTCACCAGAAGACGTGGGCCAACTGACACCCAGGAAAATAGCTTCCTTCGGCAGAAGTCTACGCTTCCTGGAGACAAATTAAGATGTAGAGTCACGCACAAAATATCTGCAAAGGTAACAGTGCTGAGCGGCTGAAAAGCCGAAACGACTCCCCCGAAATCTACAATCTACAATCTACATTTCTGATCTTTCAAAGATTATACAAACCAAAGTAAAATCCTTTGCAGATGACAAAAAACTAAACATATGGAAATCCTTGCATCAACTGGAGGAAAACATGAGTACTATTTGAAGCCTGAACTGAATGAAAAAAAGCGTACAGTTTTACACATAGAACGAAATAACTCAAGACTTAACTAACAGATAAACAGCTTCGAACTCAAAAAAGTCTCAGAAAAAAGAGACCTAGGAGTCCATGTCACCAATGATCTGAAATGAAAACCCATATATCGCACACAGTAAAAAAGGCCAACCAACTAATGTACATACCTTACAACTGTGAAGAATGTTTTTTTTTTTTTTTTTCAAAGACTTCAGCTGGCCATTGCCTCTTGCCACTTTTCCTAATTTGCTTCAAATTCACATTCAAACTCTTCTTATATATTATTTTGAATAACTAAACAACTTTCCTATTGTCTAGACTGGACTTGGAACATGTGGAACATTGAACAGTCTCCTAAACTGAATCCAAATTGTTCCTTTGGAGTCCAGATCTTCAGTTTCCTATACGATCCTGGATTTCATACCTATAGCTCTCTCTCATAACTTGTCCTAAAGAGGAAAGAGACTGATGGGGTGGTAGTTCTGTGAAACCTTCTGTCATTGCCTGCTTCGCTTAGTATGATGAAACATGGTTTCGAAAATGGAGTTGCTAAGAGCCATGACAGCTTTCCTTGGAGTCGAATTTTCGAGATCTGTATCAGGTATCTACGGAAACTTCTGCGTTCAGGTTCAGTGACTATATGACTTTTATTTCCTTGGGAAGTTAGTTATATCGTTGTCTTCTCGTTGGTCTGATGTCCTTTAACGTTTGTTAATTTTTAGGCAGTTTTATTTTATATTCTATTTTCGCACCTAATCTGGTTTATGAACAAGGTTAGATAAATATAACTATTACATATATCTTATGTGTTATTATCCTTCTCGTTTATTAGCTTTTATTTTGGCCTTCAATGTCTTTCTTTAGAATCGCTAATACTATAATGGCTAGGTACTTCTTAGTATTGTAATTCCCCTGATTAGTGATACTGATAACAACTACGTATTATATTTCTACTTTTATCGATATCGATAAAATAATAAGTTAAAATGGAATGTAGGTAATTACTTGGATGACTAATTTTCAAAAATCTCAATTATATTTGCACAGTCAAATTTAACAAAGTCGTTGACTGAACTGATAACGAAGGCAATTACCTATTGAAATATTGTACTTTTGTGTTTAATGATTTTTTAAGTGTGTTTTGGCGGAAAAACAAACGTATAAATTTTAGTCAAACTATACCAAAACTGACATTGTGATGATTTTAGAAATCAACGAACCCAGATAAAGAAGAAATTCAACCTACTTTCGAAAAATATGTTTCTTATGTCAATGTTCAATAATGGTAGGATTGGTGAGGCTTACTTAATTCTGTTTTACTGCAAAAAATGAATATTCATCCTGTTTCACATTTTTACAATCTAAGCTTAGA